CTGAGCCGGTGAGATTTGAACCGCTGACCTGCTGATCTAGCAGTAGCCTGCAGTGCTGCATTTAACCACTGCGCCACCTTGGCTCTTAAAATACTTTTAAGTAATAATAATACAAAATGTCATAAAACACACCATTCTACAATCAACTGCCTTCTTCTATAGATACTGTATAAGTCACAATCAACATAGATTGACCCTAACCCTAACCCCAAAATTTGCATGACACTATTTTTCAAAACTGAACAACAGCTGCAATATCACAGTATAAACTCTGGGAACAGTGTTATTTATCAAGCTGTAAACAACACGGAATTATGTTCCTTGATTTATAATCACTGCTATAATCTGTGAAATGACAATTAAGAAGTGGTAAGATCTATTTACTAGAAACCAAATGCAACAGAAGCAGGCCATTATTCATAAAACAACAGTCTTTTCGTAGAACAGTCTCTAGTTCTCTGATTTATGTAATCTGTTTGGAGACATATTTTCTGACACTCAATACTGGACATAGATTTTAAACTGTTGAGTGCATATATCTGGTTCCTAGAAGATTTTATTATCTTACAAAGCCCCTAAAAACTCTTGTGTGCTTACCAGACATTCAAGCAACCGTGCTGGCCGTGCAATGATGATCATCAACTTTTTTACCAGTTGGGTAACAAATGCCACATCAGAACTTTCTGACCGTTCGTGAGCCTAAGGAAAAGAATGTTGTATTATAATATGTACAAAGAATGGATCCTGCATATTTCCTCTCTGAAGTGAACATCAGTAGTTGTAATTATAACTAAAGCACGACACAACCACAATTACCATTATTCATGTTCTGTATTGGGAGAACCTTAAAAATAACATCAACTCGCACCCAGTATTGTAGAACCTTTTTTATAACATCCACTGGAAATCTAAAGATTTATTTTCCCGCAATTCATTATATGTACAACTCTTTTCAGTGCCTTGTTACTATCCTAAAATGTTCATAAGAACATAAAAATGACTCCAATGCTTTTTATTAAAAGCATTAAAGACAAGTTTGTCTTAATAATAAGAAATTGGATTCAAACACCAACATTTTGGGGAACGTGTTTATTTGCTCAACTGTTTTACTTTATCATTTCAAAGTAATGAAGAACAGCAATAAAAATAAATAGTAGTAAAAAAAATGGCAAAATAGTAAAGAACTATTTTAATAGAACATTGGCCACTATTTCTTTATTAGGTTTAGGTTTTACATCTAAAGACAATTTTTAAAAAATATATATTCAATAAATAGTTTTGCACATGTCACAGGAATGCTTTATAGAGTTCCTACCTGGTGTAATATACAATTTTTTTCAATCTAATAAATATACATAGATTTTGCAATTCATTTCACATAGGAAAAACATAATATTTTATTTGAATTATCTTCATTTGGAACTTATAAAAATGAACTGAATTTCAAATAACTTGAACTTTTATTTCCATTTAGCAAACATATTAATATTTTGGAAGAAACATTGTTTTAGACATTGAAAACTATTACCACTGTTCAGAACAAACTAGATTATGCATTATCAAATCATTTTCATTTCCTAGCAACCACATATTTTCCCTAATGATGATGTATCCCTAATCCCTAATTTTAAGTATCTTAATGATGTACTTGTTGCCACTGTAACTGAGTCTGTCATCCTCTTCTCTTTCCTTCCACCTTTCCCAACCATTACCGTGTTTTACAGGGTCTTATTTTTTTACCCACAAAATATGGCTTGGGCCTATTATGAGGGGAGGGTTTATTGTTTTAGGGTTGCCAAGCAGCTGCTCTCTTGTGAGCGGGCTCCCAAAGAGCCAGGCACAGCCTCATGGGTGAATGGCTGTGTTGTGCTGTCGCAGCAGCGCAACACAGCAGCCATGAAGCGATCATGCTCACGAGCAGCCACCCGGTAAACCTTCTTTCCAGCTGGGTACAGCGCCATTCACTGACCTAGGGGTATTGCCAAGCCGTGTGAGCGCCTGTTCGCTGCCACCCGGCTCCTGTGGCTTGGCACCTTCAAAATGCATGGCTGGAGAGGGGGGGGTGCACGAGCGGCTGTTCCGCTCTCGCTCATGCACCTCCTAGCCTCACAATGCCCTGGCCCAGCTCTCCCTGCAGAGCCAGGACACCTCTGCTGCCGCCGCCGCCACCACCATCCCAGCATGGCTTTTTCGGTGGTTTCCAAACCAAGTCTTCCAGCAGTGGCTGCTCTGGGCATATGCTCTATGGTTGTGGGCAAGCTGCCGGTAGAGCGTACAACCATAGAGTGTATTTCCAGAGCTGGGCCAGGGCATCGTGAGGCTGGGAGGCTGGGAGGAACAGCAGCTCGCGCAACCCCCCCTCTCCAGCTGTGCAGAGCGCCATTCACTGGCATTTCAAAGTCGCCAAGCAACAGGAGCCGGGCAGCGGTGAACAGGCGCTCACACGGCTTGGCGATACCCCTAGGTCAGTGAATGGCACTGTGCCCAGCTGGAAAGGGGGTTCGCCGGGTGGCTGCTCGTGAGCGTGGTTGCTTCATTGCTGTTGTGTTGCGCTGCTGCGACAGCGCAACACAACCGTTCGCCCATAAGGCTGTGCCCGGCTCTTTGGGAGCCCGCTCGCAAGAGAGCAGCCACCCAGCAACCCCCCTCTTCAGCTGGGCACAACGCTGCTCACCAACCTAGTGGTATCCCGAAGGCGCCAAGCAATGCAATCACCTTTGCCTCCCCCCCAGTTGCCGCAGCTTGGCACCTTTGGGATACCGCTAGGTTGGTTAAGTGGTGCTCTGACTGGACGGAGGTGGGGGGTTGTTCAGGGGGCTTATTTGCAGGGGAGGGGTTATATTTTTGCCCACCAGAAAAATGTTGCATGGCCTTATTATCAGGACATGTCGTATTTTTGGAGAAACATGGTAGAAACTTTTTTTGGTGTTCTGCTCTTTGCATAACATAAATGAAGAACTTGGTCACACCAACTTGAGCTTGGTCAGGAGAGAACTCTGGATTGATATGATCAATAATCCTTTGGTTTGTTTTCTTGTTTGCTACTGTATTCTCAGGGATCTTCTTTGGCACCAAAGTATAAAGACATCAATATTCTTCCTATGCTACTCCTTTAAAATCCAACTTCATTTCCATAGAGTATCACAGGAAATACATAGCACAATGCTGATCTTTGTAGGCATAGACATATCATGACATTTGAATACCTTTTTCAAGACCTTCTTAGCTGCTCTATCAAGTCCTACTCTGCACCATATTTGTTCAGTATGTTTCCTTACTGTTGACACCTGATCTTAGAAAGCAGAAGCTATCCACCATTTCAATATCTTCATTGTCAATTCTATGGCTGATTGTTCTAAGTAAATCTTTTTTTCTCAAAAATCTGGATATTAAACAAGGTAACTTTAAACAGTACTATAAAGCAGTAATCTCAAAAGTTTTTTGCTTTTTAAAAAAAAGTGTTTTTAAATTATTATTCTATTTTATATTGATAAAAAAATCAAGAAAACCCACATCATTTATTTAAAACATTAATAGTTAGCTAGATGAAAAAGAATTGAATACTGCAAAAAAAAATAGTAATGAAGCACAATTTATAGCTGTCATTCATCCAAAATAACTCAACTGCAGTTTAAGGACATTTAATAATATCACTATGATTTGTTTTAATTCCTCACAAATCAATCTGCATTTCAAATATTTTACTAAAAATATATCCTACTTTTCCTGCATCTTGAAGGTACTGATTATATGCCAAACAGGTGTCCGCCATTTGCTTCAACATGATGCATGCTACCCAATTAATACTTCCCAAGATTATATATTTGCCTGAAGGTTGTAAGTCACATTACAGATCCCACCCAACCTCACTTTGGAAGGAGGGGAGAAAAAGAATTATTGACTCTAGCTGCTCCCAATTTCAATGACATTCTGGAGGCAGAAATGGGTAAATTATAAAATTATTCCTTTATGTGAAAGACTCATCTGTCACTAATTGTACTCACTGGGGCATGAAATTACAATCGCTCTTCTCCCTAGAACAGTGATATTCCACTCACAACTTTCTCATTGAGCTAATACACTGATACAGTCTAATGCAGCTGAGTTCTAGAAATAAGAACCGATATTTCCTGTTAAAACCCTTCTAAGAATCGTAGTTCTAATCAGGATTTCTTGTTAAGTAGAAACTAGGCATATGAAGGCTAAGACGAAAAAAGCCAAAGAAACTGAAGACATTTTTAAAGTATTTTTTTTAAAGAAAACATTTTGGAAAGATGTTTAAAAAACCCTCCAGTCAAATGTTTTCTTTAAAAATTAATGGAATAAGTCAAGGAGCTCAAACATGCTGTCTATCAATATAAAGACTTTTTATTTAGAGCATTATGGTGCTACAATTCCTGTACAGAGAATAAATAGTGTAGTACAGCTCCCAGAAGTAATAACAAGATGCAGTTTTTCCCAGAGTCCTCTAATTTCATGAGACAAATAATAAAGGGCTTCATTTGCTAAGTATTAAATACTTATGTCATTTCAAAAACTTTTTAAAAGTGTATTTTCTTGAAAAATATGTATCCAACATTATAATTATAATTATAAGATATAGTCACTTGTTGCAATGCATAACTTGCATTGAAACAGCAAAGCAAACTTAAATCAGTAAAAGATGTAATAAAAATAAATGTCGAACGAAATTCAATGTTTCCAAAATACTGAATTTGGAGTTTTAGATTTGGAAATGTTATATCTGTATTATAACAGGAATTGTGGTAATCTTCAACTTACAACCATTTGCTTACTGAGCGTTCGAAGACACAACAGTATTGAAAAAATTACTTATGACAAGTTTTCAGACTTACAACTGTTGCAGCATCTCCACAATCAAAATTCAGCCACTTGAAAACTGGCATGCATTCATGATATAACTGTACTGCCTGAGGGTCATGTGATCACCATTTATAAACTTCCCAGCTAGCTTCCACCAAGCAAAGTCAATGGGGAAAGCCCACTGAAAACACATCTCATGCCACTCTTACAGCTCTTCTATCCTCAAGAGCAGGGAAGTCTCATTTCAGCAGAGAAATCAGAGTTAGAATCTGGATGTAGAGACCCTATGTAGTTGTCTTTGCATGGTCTTGCCCGGTTGTCTGGAAAAGGTTTGAACCTGATGAAGTGAAACTGCTTCTTAGAGCTGAGTTCAGCCACTGGTCAATATTCCCTCTAATTTTTTTTCAGTGTGTGTGGAAAAGTATAGTGTTTGAGCGACACATTTTCATGCCTGAGCATCTGAATTTTTTTCACAGATGTCACCCAAGACAACAATGAAATCAGTGTTATTTGAAATTCAAAGTTATGTTTATTCAAGGTACCCACTTAATTAAAAGTATTATATAATATATTATATAATATATATAGTAAATTGAGGACTACTTGTATTCAAGTTCAATGGATGACTTTCTACGGGGAAAGGATCAAAACTTTCCTCTATCCACATTTTCCATACTATGAATTACTTTATATGCTTTATACTTCCCCCCCTTACTATC